TTAATTGTTTCTGTCACTTTGTGCAAAAAATAGAAGAGTTAGAATGTTCTGCCAGTAGAATCTGTCAGTCAGTCAACTCAATTGCAGGTTGTGGTCCTGTCAGCCTTTATCATAATAAGCGTAACACCCAGCTAATGGATGGAGCTTTTCCAGAGCCCCACATACAAACCCTCTTGACACTGTCATGATCAGACATGGATCAATGGTTACTTTGTATATTAGTTAATGGCTATGACAAAACAAGAAAAAGAAAGAGCTTAGCAAAGAGAGAGTTGTTTGGTCTCACAGTTCGTAGGAGACAATCTGTCGTAGCAGGACAGGTATGTCGTGGCAGGGAGTAGCTCTTCTCTGCAACAGGAAAGCACAAAGCTACTGGTCACATTCCTGCACCAAGCAGGAAGATGGCAGTAGGAAGAAAAACGAGAACCAGGATATAACCCTCATGACCCATCCCCAAGTGACCCACTCCCAACCTTCCCAAGGCTGTGTCACCAAGTGTTGCACACATAAACCTGTGAGGACATTTCATATTCCAACCATGTGACATTTTGCTTCCTGGAGAAAAGTAGGACAAAAGTCTCTGGGAAACTGGCAACCAGAGGCAACTAGAAACCAGTCTGAGAGAATAGGTTTGAGAGATGTAGGTCTACATCTAAGACGCCCTGCTTCCTACGGTCCTCGGAGAACTTGGAGACATTGTCTTGTATGGATGCATCCTGGGATGGCTCCGCTGTGCAGTCACTGTAGAATGCATTATCTCAAACTGAGAGGCACAGTTTGCCACGCCCTTATCCTTCACAGTTTAGTCCACCATTACCCCCAGCCTGCAGCAGCCCTCGGCTTCACTGTTCAGTTTGACACACCCCTCAGTGGCATGGTGCAGTCTTCATGTATAGTCTTCTGTATCAGTGTCTCCTCGGCCCCACATGGCAGCCTGCGGAGCCCCCTTGGCTTCATGCAAGAGCCTTGTACTCCCTCTGCTTCGTGCTGCAGCCTGCCACCTCCCTCAGCTCCAAGGTGCACTCCGCTATGCTAAACACTGTAGGCAACTTGATAAAAAATAAATACGTAAACAGCTATCATACAGTGCCTAACCCTAACCATATGCTCATCTAAATACATCTAAACATAGAAATGTACTCTAATGCCACAACATTCAAATTTTTCCTAAGGTGTGTTGGGGGATGGGAAACTGCTCAGCAATTCAGAGCACTTACTGCTCTTGTAGAGAACCCAGGTTCAGTTCCCAGCCAACCTCTGACCTCCACACACTTGTACACACAGGACCAAACATATATGTATATGTGTATGTGTATATGCATATGTATAGAGAGAGACAGAGAGGGAAACAGAGAGACAGACACACAGACAGACACAAAGACACAGACCGAGAGACAGAGACAGACATAGAGATACAGAGAGACACAGACACAGAGACAACGAGACTGACAGAGATACTAAGATCCAAAGAGCTTCTGCTCCACCTCACACCCCCTCCTTACTCATTTGACAGTGAAGTGACAGGCAGGGTGACAGTTTGCCATGGGGATACTGATGCAGGATCCCCAGGGGAAATCTTTTCCTCCCTCTGCCAAGTCCTAGACAGAGACACAGGAATGTCTACTCGACACCCCGACATCTAAGCAGTGGTCTCTTCTAGTCTCATTTCTGTCCTCAGTATAAGTTACAGACTTACTTTACATTCATTAATGTAACAAAGCTGGAAGTGTCTCTTGGGAAAAGGACCCTAAACAAACATCTAAAGTATTATTCTTTCCCCCCTAAGCCTTCCCAGCCTGCAGAAAAGATAAAAGAAACAAGAACTTGACTTTCCTGGCAAGGGAGAGATAGAGTCCTTAGGGGGTCTCCCCAGGAGACATCGAAGTGTAAACTTGCTTGTGATTTTAATGAGATAAAACATGGAACTTTCTATTCAGTGCCAACCACATCTTTCTCTTGAGCATACAACAAAAAGATAAAAGAACAGAAACCAGGGGGCATATGCATGTCCTGTAGCTTCCCCTCGTGTGTTCTGGCACACAACAATTGTCAGGCACCCTTCCCCAAGACGAAGAACAAGTATACTGTTGTCTATACACAAAAAAGAAACAAAGTTCATACAGGACATGAATAAATCTCAACAATTCATTCAGTGTTTTTACGAACCTGGAGAAACTGGGTGGGGATTAAAATTATATTCCTGGGTCTTTCGACAGATTTCATTACAATAAATGTCAGCTCAGTGCAGAAGAGGAACCATTGACCCAGATTCCCCTTGATTTATGACAACTCTGTACTCGTTATTTTTCTTGCTATTCTGTTCTTCTAACACAAGCTACGTAAGGAGGAAGGGTTTATTTGGCCTCATGGTTTCAGAGGGGTCTCCATTCATCACGGTAGTGGTGGTAGTGGCAGTCAGAGCATGAGGTAGGGGGTCTTACATCATGGCTGACACAGACCAAATCCTAAAGGGGGTTTATCCTTCAAAGATCCATCCCCAGCAAGTTATTTCTGCCAGCTAGACTCTACTTTCTAAATGTTCCACGACCTTCTAAAACAGCAGCATGAGCTGGGAACCAAGTATTTAAATGTATGAGGTTCTGAGAGACAGTTGATGTTCAAATCTCCACAGTCACCTAAGTAGGCTAGTGCAGGGTTCATCCATCACAGATAACAGTCAGTGTTGAGTCTCATCCCAGGAGGAGCTTTGTCCCTTCACCGACTTAACCTCCAAAACCAAAAATGTTCTGCCATGAGCAGCCTGTTGTGCTTTTTCGTCTGCTCTAGACGGTGAGAAGTGTGGGTACCAAGACATCTTAATTCCTCAGGAAGCATTTACTGAAAGCCCAGTGAGCAGATACACACTTCACAAGGACACTCAAGTTCTCAATATACAAGCCAAGTGTGCAAGTCCGGGACTTAAATACCATGTGACTTACTGTGAACCAGACAGATGCCCCCTCAAGACTCCCAGCCTCTGCCTTGTGGCCTGCCCCTCTGTGGAAGAATCTTACAGCCACAATTCCTCAAACCTCAATCCTCGAGTCCTCTAGAAACAAGAGAAAATGTAGAGTGCTAGGCCCACTCCAGGAGCTCTGAGCACACAAGGAGCAAGCCAGAAGGATGCTGAAGGAGGGTGCCCAGGAAAGACTCTGAAGGAGGGTGCTAAGGAAAGACTCTGAAGGAGGGTGCCCAGGAAGGACACTGAAGGAGGGTGCCCAGGAAGGACTCTGAAGGAAGGTGTCCAGGAAGGACTCTGAAGGAGGGTGCCCAGGAAGGACACTGAAGGAGGGTACCCAGGAAAGACTCTGAAGGAGGGTACCCAGGAAAGACTCTGAAGGAGGGTACCCAGGAAGGATGCTGAAGGAGGGTACTCAGGAAGGATACTGAAGGTGAGTACCCAGGAAAGACTCTGAAGGAGGATACCCAGGAAGGACACTGAAGGAGAGTGCCCTTTCTGACTTCTCTGATAAATGCATCATAATTTCATTCCCAAACTGACAGAGATATTGAAACAAAAAGATAGAAATGATGTCTTGGATAGAAGATCAGAGGGAAAGCTGAGTCCAGAAAGTTCTGTGTCGTGAGGTGGGAAAAAGATGTGGTCTCCAGTCATGTGACATGGTACAGGAGGGCTATGTCCTGAAGAAGGAGGGACTAGGAGTCAGCCCCTAACAGTGACAACAAGTTCATGCAATAAACTCACACAGTGCTGCCATTTGGGGTACATAAAAGCCAGGGCTGTCTTTCAGACAAATCAGCAGTGAGCAGGGCCCAGGAAAAGCTGGCTTCTTTCTACCTGTGCTGCAGCACAGACCCCCGAAGGCTATCCCAGAGGACACTTCTACCCCATACCTTCTGCTCCCTCTGGCATTCACCCTTCCCCCAGCATCGTATGAAATCTGGTGACCTGCAGGCAGAGGTAGAGGAGAACCTGAAGGGCTCCACCTTCATCCCCAAATCCTCTCACTCTCTAAAGAGACGCTCAGCTGTGCACACAGAGAGGACAGTGCACTGCTGCTCTTCAGAGGAACTGACAATGTCCTCCCCGAAGTCACTCACAGGTGCCAACATGGCTGCAATCCTAAAGGCTCAAGGTATAACGATTGGAGTGACAAGGCACAGCCCTAAGCATTAACTAGGCAGCAGCCTAAGCACTGAGCTAATGGCTTCCAGAGGATCCTCGACTCTGCACTGTACTTCCTGACCAATCCTGCTATCTTAAAGCAGGCCACGAGCAGGAGCGTCTGTCATCTCCACAGGTGTCCGGAGGAACTCTAAGCTATCCTAAGCCCCCTCCTCTCCTCACACTCAGCAGAATTCTTAAGGCTCCTTCCAAAGCAGCAACCCCTGAAAGCTCCCCATCGCCATCCACCTGGGCCCAGTCAGCACCGCCTCTTTCTGGTCCCACTCCTGTTTGACTCCTCAGTGGCCTCTGACCAGCTCCTTCCCTGACCCCCAGCCTCATGTTATAATTGTCCCTCATCTCTTGGATATCTTTAATCATGAGGGTGTGATGCCAAGCTCTAAGTTGCCTGACATCTCTCAAATAAAATTCATTTCTGGAGAGAGCATGAAGCCAGAAAGCCCCGTGATGATGTCTTCACCACCATCCCACAGACAGGACTAGCATTTTCTTCTCCCTACCCCTGTTGGCCTCATGTTATCAGGCACAGCACTGTGCCATAGCTGATAGGTACATGAGTTCCAGGCAGGCAGGTGATGAGTTAGCATGCTTCCTACACAGCAGATTCCACACCTGTTCCAGCCAATAAAGAAAGTTCAACCCACCATAGAGGTTGACGCTCTAAACGACTTTAAAATCCACAGACCAACAGGGCAGCAGGCTAGCCGGCTGTCCCAGAACAGAGATACCCACAAGAGTCAGCCACACAGCTCCCAGGATGAAGGAGGCAGAGTCCGAGAAGCAGGAAAAGACTTCTATCCGGACAGCCGTCAAGGAGAAAGATGAAACTGTCTACAAAGAGCTTCGAACTCACCAGTATCGTAGTCGCCATCTTCGACTGCTTTTTCTTGAAGTTTCTGAAGCTTTAAAATTAAAGAAGTGACCTATGTCGGTGTGAAGGGGAAACACAAGACATAAATTACAAATTAATTCAAGAGAGTTCATTTTGTGAAATCTACGAGCACCTAAAACTATTTCAAAAGTGGGCTGTCCCGAGGGCTCAAGGGTGAAGGCCCACACTGTGAAACCAGGGCTTGAGCTTCGTCCCCGGGACCCACACAATTCCCACAAAGGAGTTCTCTGACCTCTGCACAAGTACCATGATGCATACATGCACACATAGACAAATAAAAATATGTAATAAAAAAAAGATAAAAATCCTTGGGGCTGGAGAGATGGCTCAGTGGTTAAGAGGACTGACTGCTCTGCCAGAGGTCCCAAGTTCAATTCCCAGTAACCACATGATGGCTCACAACCATCTGCAATGTGATTCGATGCACTCTTCTAGTATGTGTCTGAAGATAGGTACAGTGTACTCACATAAATTAAAAAAAATAAATCTTTTTTTTTAAAAAAGATAACATCCTGAAAAGCAATACTGTTTTTAAATAGGGAGACTATTTTAAAAGTGAAGTTCTATTTAAACTATTTTAAACACACACACACACATATACACACATACACACACATACACACACAAACACACATACACATACACAAACATACACACATACACACACACATATACACACACACACACATACACACACACACACATAGATTTCCAATTCCAAGTGCATGTTTAAGAAAAGCAAGTTATTTGAACAAAAAAGCACAATTTAAGCATGGACTCCCCAGAAAGGCTTAGAAAGTTACAAATACCACAGCACCGTGCCATTATCAGCATGAAGCGCTGTGTGGGGAGAGGGAACACAGACTGCAGGCCAAAAGGCCTCTGAGCATGCTCTAACCCTCAGAGCATCGCAGTGAGGGTGAACGTGGGAAGAGGAGCCAGGCACCGACCACAGCTGTCTCCAGGCTGGCCAGTCCAGGAAGGGCTGTGGCCCTGCTCAAAGGGTCCATCACAGGGAAGCTGCTGTCTTGGGCTGTACATGTAGCTTAGTGGTGTGTGCCCAGCATGCACACGACCCTAGTTCTATCCCCAGCACAGGAGTGGGAGAGATATGGACAAGGGAATAGAGAGCCACCGGCAGCCACGCCTTCCTTCCCAGAACAACTTCCTAACGGGCTGTGGCCAGGATGTGCTTCTAAACACGGAAGCTGGACGCTAAGGAGATGGGCAGCCAGAAAGCACTCACCCGGCAAGTGTAGGACCTGAGCTCCATGCTCAGAACTCGCCCAGAAAACCGGGCATAGTGTCCCATGCCTGTAATCCCACCTCACGGGAGGGGACCGGAGAGTCCCTGAGGCCCGCTGGCCTAATCAGTGCACTCAAGGTTGTCCTCAGGCCATATACACACATACTCACACACAAACCACATACACATACCACACACTCATACATACACACCATATATTTATACTCACTATATCATACCATACACACACATATAGACATACCACATATACCATACACCACACACACTACATACCATATACCACACACCACACACACACATAAACCACATACACACACACCACACACTCATACACACACACCACAGATTCATAGTCACCACATCATACCACACACACACACACACACACACATATACACATTTACCACATACCACATACAGCATACACTACACCCACACCACACACACCACACATACACATATGCACACAAACACATGCTCACAGTCTTTTGGTAGGAGGACACACATAGCACATGGGGCAATGAAGCAAAGTAGGGGCGGGAGCTGCCCAATCAGACTTCTCCCTTCTCACTCTTTCCAAACCTGAGCTGGCTGTCCCCCCTTACCCTCCCAGTGTCTTATTTTATCTCATTTGTTTACTATGGGGCGAGGAAATATGACCGATTGCAGAAGTCGGCTCCCCCTTCCACCATGTGCATTCTAAAGGATCAAACTCAGGAAGTCAGGCTTGGCAGCAAGTGCCTTTACTCACTGAGCCATCTTGCCAGTCCCGTGTCCTAATCTGAACAAACCACACTGCAGGTCAAAGGTTGTGGAGAAGCATGGGCCCCGTCATAGAGCACATGCCAGCAGCACCTAAGCCACACAGCTAGAAAGCGGAGAGCGGAGCATGCGCGTTCAGATGTGGAGGAGACAGATACGCCGCCACATCTTTGCAGACAGCGGTCCCAGGAGCCATTGCAGCTTCCAGAACCAGCATTTAATCAGCGGCCCACTTCCCACTTCCACTCAACATTGAGCTGGGGGTGACAGATTCCCGAAGGACACACACCTCTAGCTGCCTGCGGCTGCTCAGTAGATAGTCCTGCAGCATGGGCTCCCATTCCCTGAGCAAAGCATGCCATCCATGGTCATCCGCCCAGCCGCCCTGGTCGCCCCGCCCACCAGCGGAGGATGCATCCTGGGAAGAGAAGCCAGCATCTGAGGAGGAGACCTTGCCACAGTCTGGTTGCCTGCTGTTCCTTGTCACCTGAGCCAAGTCCACCAATCCTGGAGCAGCATGAAGACCGAAGGTCCAGAGATGCCGAGGGTCCCCGTAAGGCGTGTCTGAGCCGGATGCTTCAGCTGCCATCTCTTGGGGGCTCTGATGCTGGAGTTCGGCCTCTCTGGATGGCAGGCAACCTTCTGCTTCTCCACGTTCTCCAGCAGCACCGAGGGAGAGTCGGATGAAGCTGAAACTGGAAGTAAAGGTGTCTTGGAAGCCGGGAAGGGATGGGACATCAGCGAGGCCATTCAATGCCACTGGTGCCAGAGATTTCACAGTCTTCAGGCCCCTTGATTCCTTGCTCCAGGATACATGAAGACCAGGAGCCAGAGACTTAGCACTGTCTGAAGATAAGAATTCTTGCCAACACGCACTGTCCCCAGGCTTACATGGCCCAGTCAGCCTCTCAGATTGTCTGCTCTCATTCCTGGAACGAACCCCGAAGTGCACTGGCCTTTCTCTCATACAGCCCTGGGCTGGATGCATGTGGCCCACAGAGGCTACAGCAGGGCCAAGGGAGCTCTTAAGAAAAGGCTTGCCCACCAATTGGGCTTGGCAGTGGCTCCTGGGGTCAAGGCCACACTGTCCAGCCTTGGGCTGTGAGTGGTGGGGCTCCTGGCCTGTCAGCCCTGCTGAGTTCGAGCGTAGCATGCCCACTGCTGGAGAGAGGAACCTGATCCCAGGACCGGCTGGGCTTCTCATGTACCCTGGTCTCCGTGTCACCCGCCGTCTCTGAGGGGCTACTGCAGGTGGTGAGCTATGCCCACTGTCTGAGAAGAGAAGAGAAAACAGTATTATTGAATCAGTAGGAGCTGCACATGGAGGACACGCTAGCCATGCAGGTCTCTGTGAGTACACCTATCAAAGACACGGCGTGAAAAAGTCAGGATCCCAAGCCAGGCATGGTGGGACACTCCCATGATACCAGTCCTTGGGACATGATGGCAGAAAGATCAGGAGATCAAGGTCATCCTTACCAGTGTAGGGAGTTCAAGCTAGCCTGAGCTAAGCTGTTTTTAAAAATCAAAAGAAAGATGGTGCTCCTCTGCAGATGCCCAGTCAGCCCAGCAGCCCAGCCTTCTGCTGCCAGAGGTCCTGCTGTATGTCTGATAGCATGTCAGTGCAGGTCCTGAGCACACAGCCTTGATGGCTCCCCAGCAACTGTCCCAGTGCAGATGATACATAGCATGCCCCTCCAGGAGAGGGCTTGTAAAGCAAGCCACCTGACACCAACATATATATATATATATATATATATCTCACATGACACCAACATATATATATATATGTATGTATGTATGTATGTATGTATATATCAGCATGTGTCTCTGTCATGTATTCCAGTCACTACTGAATGACACTTGGATTTGTAGTAGCAAAGTATCCACGTCCCCACATTCCCAGTGCATTCCTAAAGCCTCAGTGGCTGTGATGATTTATATATGCTCAGCCCAAGGAATGGCACTATTAGAAAGTATGGCCTTGTTGGAGTGGGTGTGGCCTTGTTGGAGTGGGTGTGGCCTTGTTGGAGTGGGTGTGGCCATGTTGGAGTGGGTGTGGCCATAGTGGGGTGTGTCACTGTGGGTGTGGGCTTTAAGACCCTTATCCTAGCAGCCTTCAGATGAAGATGTAGACCTCTCAGTTCTTCCTGTACCATGCCTGCCTGGATGCTGCCATGTTCCCACCTTGATAATGGACTGAACCTCTGAACCTGTAAGCCAGCCCCAATTAAATGTTGTTCTTTATAAGACTTGCCTTGGTCATGATGTCTGTTCACAGCAGTAAGACCCTAAGACACTGGCTGTGACACAGGGGCTGCCTGTCCCTTCATCTCATACAGAGGACTACAGGGGCGGTGGGGGGGAGTCCTCACTTAGCTACCCTTCAGAGGTAGGAACAGTAACAAATCCTGTCACCTCACTGTCTGGTCCAAACCTGACCATACTGACTGCTTCATTGTGTAACCTTCTACAGGCTGTTCGGCTTCTGTGTGCCTCAGTTTCCCCCTCCATTAAGAGGGTGGCTAGAAGGACCCCATGTACAAGGTTCTCGCTATTAACAGTTTAGAATATAACCTGGAACATATAAGTGTGATAAAATGTTAGCTACAGACCTGGGAAGATGGCTCAGCAGGTCAAGGATTTGCTGTGCAAGCCCGAGAACCTGAGTTTGACCCCCAGGTGACCCCCAGGGCCCAGGTTCAAGTGTCGGGCGTGGTGGCACATGCTTGAATTCTCTGTGCTGGGAGGCAGAGTCAGGGGGATCCCTGCAGTTCACTGACCAGCCCTCGGAGTCAAATTGATGAGTTTTATGTTCAAGGAAAGAGTCGGCCTCAAAAAAACTAAAGATGGAAAGTCTCGAGAGATGGCAGAAAGGGTGCAATACCAAGTACCCGTCAGTGCCAACTTCAAATAAATGGATTCGAAAAGCAGGCTTTCTCAGCCATGTGTCAGACCAACAGAAAGCAAGGGCAGGTTTTCTAAGGCCACCACCTTTGTGATGTACATGGGTTGCTGCTCCACAGGAGCACTTGCTGCTCTTGCAGAGGACCAGGATTCAGTGCCCAGCACCCACATGGCACTCGAGAGCATATCCAACTCCATTTTCAGAGGAGCCAATGCCGACACCTGACTTGCCCCCGCACCAGTCACGTATGTGGTACACACACATAAATATAGAAAACGCAGCCGTACGTATAAAGTAAATAAGTCTAACATATATTTTTAAAAATTAAGGATGAGGAAAGACATACAGTGTTAACCTTTGATCTCCACATGGCATGGACACAGGCGGATGTGTTCCCATTAACAAGGACGTACGCCACACTCACAAACAAATACCGTGCCATAGATACACACAAAACTGAGGGGGTTGGTACACACCTGTAACTCCAACTCTCAGGAGATGGAAAGACGACAGGATACCTAGATACCAGATACCTCTACCCTAGCAGCCTAGTCTAATTCGCAAGTTCCAGGTCTGGGAGAGGGAGGGGGGGAGGGGTGGAGGAGAGGGAAGGGGAGGGAGAGGGAAAGAGAGAGGGAGGAAAGAGAGGAGGGAAAGGGAGGAGGGAGAGGGAGATGGAGAATATCAATAAAGGGAAGGAAGGAAGGAAGGGAGGGAGGGAGGGAGGGAGGGAGGGAGGGAGGGAGGGAGGGAAGGAAGGAAGGAATCAGAGATTTGTGCTAACTCTTGAGATCTACCTCAGGCCTGAGCCTTGTCTCCCTCCAAGCTCATCCTTTCTCCTTGCTCTTAGCCCCGAACTGAGATGGTAACTTTGGTGACAGGCAGTCAAATGACAGATTTCTGCTCCCGGCTACTTCATGACAACATATTTGGGCTATTGCAGCTCTGAGGTAGTTGATGTGGTCATTCTGGTACCCTAGCTGTCGCTCCCTTCTCTGTCACCTCCCTCCCCAGAATGATGCTAACCATAGCCTCAGAGCCCCACCAGCTTGAAGCACCCACCAGGGCTTCATAATTCAAAAGGGAACAGAGGGAGCCCCAGAAGGACAGCTGTCCCTCCCACCCTCTGTAAAACTGGCAAGAGAATCACTAAAGAGCCAGGAATCCCAGTCACAAAGAACACTGTGTCCTAGCCACAGTGACCAGTGGATGAGTCCAGCAAAACTATATTGTCTTTTGGGCCAAAAGACTTCCAATTATTTTGTAACCCAAATACCATCACTTAAGTAGCTGTCCTGTTGTTCAAAGAGTGTTGCTAAGTAGAGCGTAACTTGCTATAAAATGATTCTTTCCAAATGTCTGTGTGTCACCCTCCTGGGATCCTGACACCATAAGCCCCAACTGTTCCAGCCATGGCCTGTAAGTCTGGAGAGCCACAGGCCCATTGCCTACAAGTTAAGACCACCCAAAGAAAAGTGTCTACCAGCCAAGGGACATACACACACACACACAATGTGTGCACACACATACACATTTATCAAACACAACAGACACAAGCAGATGCCACTCTGCAGCTAACTGGAGGCTCCCATGTCCCATCCGCTGCTGAGGTGACCACAGGTGTTCATTCAATGCTCAGGTACTCAGGTAGAGGACTGGACAGAGGCACTGACATTCTGAAAGGATCTTCTGGAATCTGCAGGGTCCAGGTCAAGTTGCTAGGAAGATTTTGAGTCTTCTACAACCAAAGTGTAACACACACACACTTGCATACACATACCATATATCCACACACTCACAATACACACACACACACTCACAAAATACACACACACAGGCGTGCAAGTGTGTGCACACACAGATCCTCTTTTTTTTTCTTTTTCTTTCTTTCTTTTTTTTTTTTTTGAGGGAGTCTTTGAGGTCCGCTAGGACTACAGATCAGTTCTGGCTCACACATCCTTCCTGAAACATGACCTCATGGGCTGCTCTGGCCTGCAGCTGAGAAGGGGCTGCGTTTATGGCTCAGCTGGGGAAGGCCACACTTCCTCCTTACACTGAACACAGTCAGCCCCGGAAAGAGGCTCAGCCAGACAGGAAGGAAGGAGAGGCACCAAAAGGGTGAGGCCCCAAAGTGAGGGCTCTGTTGGGTAGCCAGGAAACAGATGTGCTCACCCTGCCGTGGAAAACCCAGAGATGACCTCATTTTGTCCATCTGACCTAGAACAGCTGAGCCAGGAGAAAGGCCTGAAGCAGCCACTTCATCTTTGGCAGCCTTCTTCTTCATAAGAGATAGATTCTGGGGAACAGAGTGCAGAACCTTGCCTCCTCTCCCAGCACAAACCACCTGATACAGAACCCCACATACCCCCCACACCCTGTAGCTGGCCCTGTGGCTCCAAGATGACAGGAAAGGGACAGACGGGTCCTTGAAACCAAGTTAGATGTCAAAGGCTTCTTTGAACAGTCAAACAACTCCCTGGAAACCCTGGCTGAGAGGATGCTAAAAGAGGGAGTTGGGCAGTTGGGGGAGGAGGCAGGTTCTGAGGAGGCAGATTTAAATTTGAGAACTAACTTCAACAAGGGAGCCTCAAACTGCTGGTTACAATGTAACGGCTCAGTTACAATGAACCAGAGCAGCTGGAGGCCATGCCTGTGCTGATAAAGAGAGAGCAACAGTAGGAGCTTTAAACTGGCGACAGAACTAGAGATCACCGGAGACAAGAAATAGACTTAGATATGTTCCCTGGCCTAAAGCTGGCCAAAGCCCAAAAGGAGAGCTCACAGTGCTGAGCACACTTGGCTATCGTACCTTAAATACGCGTTCTGAGTTTACGGCCACACAGAGGAGCCATTACCTGACTAAAACCAATAAGAACCTAAAGAGATTAATTATTTCTTCCTCAGTTGCCTTGAGAAGGTGAACTTCTACTTTTGCCAGAGGTTCTCTTTATCCTGGGCTGAGTGTGGTGTCCATGCTCCTGCCATAAAAAACCTCAAAGGACCAAAGTAAAGGGTGACGCTGAGTTTGGAGGGAAGCAAGGACCCACATGCTCCTGGCTGTCCACTGGAGGCACAAATGAAGCTCTCTGTGCTTTGGGGAAAAGGATTGCACGGTCACCTTACAAGTTACTTAGTGTGAACCCAAAGTAAAAAGGAAGGTTGATAAGCTACTTATCACGGGGCTGGAGAGATGGCTCATCGGTTAAGAGCACTGACTGCCCTTCCAGAGGTCCCGAGTTCAATTCCCAGCAACCACACGGTGGCTCACAACCATCTGTAATGGGATCTGATTCCCTCTTCTGGTGTGTCTGAAAACAGTGACAATGGATTTACATACATAAATTAAATGCATAAATCTTAAAAA